AATATTATCTAATAAGAGTTCTAGCCAGTCCAGGTCGCAAACAAGGATAAATGACTGATGGTTGAATTTTCTCACAGTGAATTCTGCAATGACTTGCTCCCCGAAAGGTATTCTCATCCAGGAAGAAATTAACTGCAATCTATACCTCATCTAAACTAGTATAATCAACAATCCTAGTGGGGCTCGAGCCCAGATTATTGTTATACAACACATCGAGATCATATGCCGAACTAAAGCGACCAAGTTCGAGTCCCACCGGAAGTGCTGATGTGACAACTTCAGGCGAGATTGAAACTGTAATCTACCTCTGCCTGGAAAATGATACCTTTTAGGAAGCAAGGCGTTGTAAAATTCAATGGAGACATGATACCTCCTCGTATGATTGTGAGAAAATTCAACTATCAATCATTCATCCTCTTTTGCGACCAGGAGTGACTTGAACTCTTATTAGGATCAGTCAAGCTTTTAGTCAAGATTTAGTAAAGGTAACGAATTCTACTCAACGTAATTATAAGTAGTATCGATAAGTATGAGAATACCTTTTGTGAATCAAGGATATGTGAAATACACATAAACAGTAAAGCATAACCATCTGACTTTGAGAATATATAACTATCAGTCCTTCATCACTCTAGACAAAAAATAATGAATATAGCTTATATTTTAATGTATTTTTACGTAAAATTCATCTTTGCTTGCACATGAGTTTATTGTATTCACGTGGGCTCACGAGGCAGTCATTTGCGAACTGATTAATTAAGACGAAGGAGCCCTTTACCGGTGGAACTATAGGCAAGTGAGCATGATCAGGAGGAAACCATGTTCTGGCCGGAAGAGAGGAGGCAGCGAAAGGGGATTCGGAGTGCCTGAAGAGAGGTATCTCTTGATTTACTTTTGCTGACCTCCACTCCCTTCGGACGAACAAAGTTTAAGAGGAGGCATTTCGTAGATTGATCCCACTGAGCTAAATATGCGACTGTCAAAAATGAGAGGTTTGTGTAGACTGATTCCAAATCGTCATGAACCCACATCAGCCTGGATTATGCCAAAGTGTGCTTCACAGCAACTGTATACTTCCACCATCACATGATCATGCCTTGTCTGGAGATGCTAGCTCATTTCCAGGCGATGGAGTCCATCGAATGTAAGCCCAGACCAACATTTTGCGCTTGACCAAAAAAGAGATTCAGGCAGAGCTAAACTTCCGCGTCATACGATAGGGTCTTTTGTGAGTGTAAACCATCCGAAAAGCTCATCCGGTCTGGGGCTTCAGAAGCAGCCAGACGTCTGTGAATGCGGCTTTCAGACAAACCTGATGGAGCGATCTGATTCTGGTGGACAACTGAAAATGCCATTGAGACAGCAAACTACCCAAAGTGTGCTGGCAAAAAGTTTGGATGCACCAAATTCCCGGTCTTCCTCAAAGATTGTTTTCTCGTCGAAGCGAGTGCAGGACTGAACAGTAGGAGGACTCGACGATGATAATCATCATTATCATCTATTCATTGTTATGCAAGTTAATCGGATTTCTGTATGTTTAGTGGGAAAACTTTACATGGAAATCGCGACTATTTCTTTTTGGTGTGTCTACGTTGAGAAAGACGCTTGACTGCTACAAAATATCTTAAATGAAACAGTCTCAGAGGAATTTGAGACTGTAACTAGCACATCGTGGCAACATGTCATGACTTGGCAGGCGTACCCTTCAAGGCAAACCAGGACCTTGCCAAATCGCATTTATTGGGCGAATGTGGATGAGGCAGACTTGTATATTGGCATCATATTTGATAGTACTACTCATTTGTGGTGCAAGTAGCTTTCGAGGCAACCAATCAGATACGATGAAAGGATCAAGTGATAAAGGAAAAAATGCAGTAATAGCCCTTAAATCACTCACATGATTGTGGGCGAATGCAACTTTCACCATACCCAACCTAGGGTGAATGCAGCTCTTCGTCAAATTCTACTGGTAATTTGAAGACCTATTTAGTATAAAATACAAACGTAAAGCCATAAAGTCGTCTGCTGATACAGCCATTCTTGTGTTGGGTAGACCTGACGCCGCAATTGCTACATGACAGATAAAGACAACAATTCTTGTGGAAACTGTTGGGCCCAGCGATCAGAAATGACTTAGCATTTGGAAAAAAGCCGAAGTGAGCTGGAATAGCCTCAGACTTATCAGCTTGTTTTCTCACGCCATATCTGCTGCTAGGCGAAAAATAGAAGAGACTATCGACGGCAACAGGTTAGGAGACATGTACAATATAAGGAGTGATAATATAAATTTAGCTAAGTACTACTTATAATATACTACTAGCTTGATAGAATTGCGCGTAGAGCAGCCAGTCAACACGTACAAAAAGAGATGTATTCACCCCATTTCGTTTAAGGTGACGAAGGACTGGTAGTAGAATTTACCCACAACATTGAATTTCACAAAGCCTTGATTTCCCAAAAGTTGTTCTCCTACCGGCTGGAGTGGACTGCAGTTTCGACCTCGCAGCTGCCTTATCAACACCCCCAGCGGGAGTCGAACCTTGACAGTGCAGAATGGAAGCTTGACACGTTACCTACTCGACCACATCGTCACAGGGCAGATGTGAATTTCAAGAAAGGCCAGGCCTTTTGCCATATCATATACCTTGGTGGGATTGTCGATGAAGCAAACGTATATTTGCTATAAAAATCGACTA